CAACGATTTTTCAGAGACATTTGCGACCGTTTTGATCGACTTTGAGACAATACTGCTCCCAAACTAAGACTGATAATCGCACTCCGTAACAAGGGCATGCTAAAGGAAGGTCCAAAGACCAATTGCCCGTTGAGGGAGCAAAATGCCCGCCTCGGATCAGACGCAGTGGCTGCTTAAAATCGGCACAAAACACGATTTTTCGAAAACATTTCTGAGCGTTTTGGCCAACTTTGAGACAATACTGCTCCAAAACTAAGACTGATAATTGCACTCCGTAACAAGGGCATGCTAAAGGAAGGTCCAAAGACCAATTGCCCGTTGAGGGAGCAAAATGCCCGCCTCGGATCAGACGCAGTGGCTGCTTAAAATCGGCCCAAAACACGACCCCAGCTACCTCGCCACGACCCCTTCAAAAATTTTCGCGACCCCACTTGGGGTCCTAAGGTTGAGAACCACTGCATTAGGATGTAGGGAAGGCCCGAAATGAAAAGTTAATTTCCGATTCAGCGTACGCCGTGCGAATGGTTTTGAACGAGACATGTGCGCACGCTCGCACCCCTTGTGGCCCTCGGCAAGGCCGGTGCCGTATAGGCTTGCCCAGCAAATGGACTGAAAATAGATCATCAGTCGTAGCCACCCCATTCCCCCACCCCAACCGCCAAACCGCGCACCTCCGACTAACTCCGCGTTGCTCCTCGTGCGTGGAACCCCTTCCTCCCCCTCTCTTTCTCTCTCCCACCACAGGCATGTGCGGCATGGCAAACAGTTGAGCGCGGACGCGCGCTTCAAGTTCACTGGGCTGCCGGTTCGTCGGCGTGCGGTGCTGGTGCACTACACGTGTATACAGTACAGTACAACCTCAACGACGTATTGATGAACCCAGCGACCTTGGAGGCGAGGGCGGTGAGCACGCCGACGCAGGCCGGATAGAAATTTCGGTTTGTAGCACTGTACCGCAGTTGGGAGTGTCCGACTGCCTTCGGGCGCGACATCGGCGAGGGTCTCCAGGTGAGGCGCCCGCAGTGCTGCCACGCCACTGGCCAAGGAATGCTGTGGCCGTGAGACCCGGAGACCTCCTTGCATTCCGGTGGCAGCGATGCCCTGGCAGCCCTGGCAGGCGAGATTGTCATCGAGTCTCAGAGGGTGGTGAAGCACGGCCTCGGCGGCGTGGTGGTAGAGCTAGCCGACCCACAGACTGCTGCCAACTCGGCGAACCACACCCGTCCGGTGGCGCCGTACACGTGTTTGTTGATTTTCTTCGTCCGTGTGATCGCCGTGTTGGCTGCCCTGGCCACCCTGGCCGCCCTGGCTGCGGCTGATCGACGTCCAAACGCCGCCCGGCTGCACTAACGTACATTAACGTACACTAACGCACACCAACGGACGCAAGGGCATCGCAGGTTTGTTCGACTGGCCGTGATCGCTGTCGGAATGTTGTTGGGAAAGCCATCCCCCAGTCCGAGGGACTCGCCGAGGGAGACCACGCGCCCCGAGCCGGCGGCGGGCACGTTCGAAAGCGAACGCTGCGAACGCCATTGACGCAGACGGAACGCAAAGGAACGCGCCCCGGGGCGCTGCCGCGAATTTCGGGCGCGTCCGACCGGCGTGGCTCGCCGTGGCTCGCCGTCCGTGCCAATAAAGGACGGTTCAATGCGGGTTAGTTAGTCGACTCGCCGACTCAGCGCAGGGAGGGCGCTGCGGCGCAGCTGGCGGGCACCAGCGGGCCGGCCGAGGCGCCGAGCATCCCTCCGGCATGTTGGCTGGCATGTCGGCACGGCCAGGCCAGGATAGCCGCGACCAGCATGGAGAGGAAGCGGATTGTCACTGGTGACGGCGGTGCTGGGGTGGGAGGGACAAAACTTTATCACTGTCCCACGCATTTGACTTGACGTTCGTTTGAACATCGTGGGCGGGGCGTGCTGGGGCGTGCATGGCAAAGAAAGATTTTCCGTTTTTATAGAAGAATATAAATAGTAGGCTGTTGGGAGTACGGGTAGGTGAGCTGAGAATTATTAGGCCCACTGATACACACGCAATTTTATCCATGGAAGTGCCTGCCACCTTTTCGACCGAACTCGATGACTTGAAGGGGCCTTGCAGAGTGGCCGTGCTTTGGGCGCAGTCTGCGTTGCACACCCTCTCGTCTGCGGGCGCAGTGTGGCCACGCTGCCCCTGAGTGGGTCGCCGTGGTGGCTTGCGTTGCCGTGGATGCTGCCCAAGTGCCCCAGAGTGACCACATGTGACCAGACCGGGGTCACACGGCGCCCTCGGCCATCGGGTGCGCCGGCGTGGCCGGCGTGGCCAGAGACGCCTCGGAGAACTCCAGCCGGATCCTTCCAGTGCAAAGGAAAGAAAATCGTATAAAAAAGAGGAAGAACCCCCGTCGGAAGAATATTGCGAGATGAAAAATTCATCAGTCTTCTTGGCACGTGAAACGTGAAGGGGAGGCGAGATGACTGAATACTGATTCAGGAATCCGGCGTCACTGGATCAGAACTCATTGCTTCACTTTACACTTTGCTGACTCGGCCGGAGAAGGTCGCGGAGTAAATATTTGTTTTCATGAAAAGACCAAAAGGCGCCTTGAATCTCGGAAACGATGAATTGAGTATAAATGGATTTAACTTGCAACTTCTTGATTGGTTTTAATCTGGCCCTGCCTCCCCCCCTCCCACTTTCGAGTCACTGTTACTAGCAGACAGTCGGTCGGTCAGGCGACGCGACTCCGCGCTGCCGCCGTTGGCGGGAGCGGCGGGTTTATCACCAAGGCGGTAGATACCCCACGCACGGCGGGACTGCACTGCCGCCCCCGGCAGGGAGTAGCGACGCCATGGCGACGCCCCGCGCAGAGCGCGCAGGGGGTATGCCCGTCGCCGCGCGGCGTCTATTCTAACAACAATAGTCTCAGTGCACGACGAAGCACCCTCAGCAAAAAATCTTCAAATTAAATTGCGGATCGACTAAAACCAAAACAATTTTTTTTCCAATAATCTATTTTTAAAGGAAGAAAATATTTTGGATTGCGAGCAGTGCTTCGGCCTTCCCAACAGCCGGGCAGGCACTTAGCGATTGTCGTCGTGTTCCTGGAGGAGTAATGCACCTCTGCAGGCCCGGCGCCGTGCACCCCATTGTGGCCAGGGCTTTGTAACACACACACACACACACACAAGCACACACACGAGCGCGTGTCGTCCAAGTGGGCAACGCAGTGCACCATCTTCGCGGCCCGGCTGGCGTGACTGGCAGCCTCGCTGGCGGCCCCTCCGCCCCCGCGGCTTGCTTGCTCTCCTGTCTGAGCGCGATAAGTGAGCCGCTGCTGCTGGGACGGGCTGGAGTGACAATGGAGGCCAGCCGCCCCGCCGTGACTGCGGGGACACAGGGACTTACGACTGCACACCCCCAGCCAGTATCCTAGCCTGGCACCAGGGCCTCGTGCCGTGCTACACATCCACGAACGGACCACTTCCAGGGGTCTATCAGTGCCCACGATGCACCAGTGTCGAAAGGGTTGCCAACGTCAGCCTGCGTACGAGGCAAAGCCCAGACATCACTCTGCGGACGAGGAACGGAATTTCCGGGAGCCTTCGCAACAAGTACTAAGAAGCGAGGTTCGTGTGTAAGGGCCAATATATTCTCAGTGTTGCCTACAGGTTTAATGTCGATGCGATCACCCTGTCCCTGTCATTAAGCTTGCGCCCGGGCCGAAGGCTGATGTCCTTCGGGAAGATACTCGCAAGTACATGTCCAGGACCGGGAGCGGAGCGCGGGCCGGGCGAGACGGCGAGACGGCGTGGGGCCTGGTGCCCGGGCTGGGCTGGGCCCCGGCCCGCTGGACTCGTGGGGCTGCCCCAAGCCGCCACGCCGCGCCGCGCCCGCCAGCCAGTGGAAGGGCAGGCTCTAGGCTGGCTGTGCTGGCTGTGCCTCTTCTCGCCTCTCGCTGCTCGCCGTGCTGCGGCAAGCGGCGGCGCTTGGCGCAGGCTTGGCGCTGCGCGCTGTGGGGCCGTGGGGCCTGGGCGGCTGGGCCGCGCGCCTCGCTGCGCGCCTCGCCGCAAGCCAGTCTGGCCAGTCTGTCCGTCGTGGTCGAGTCGGGAGTACCGCCCCTGTGGCACAGGGAACTCTTCGCAGCCAGCGTGCGAAGCGTGCGCGGCCGCGCATACACACAGTTGCCGCCGTCGCCGTGCTCGACGCCGTGCCGTGCCAGCGTGCGCCGCCGGTCCAGGAAGACGGCCAAGAACTTGTCCGGGACCACGCCGCCCCGGCCAGAGCGCCCCGCCACGACGCGGTCGTCGAGGACGCCGTCGGCGTGCTCGGCCTCTGAGAAGCTCCGCGAGGGACATCGCCGCGACGCCGCCGTGCCGCGCCGTGCCGTGCCGCCCAGTGGCGTGCCGTGTGCTCGTGATAATGTTGAAATAGATGGTGTGATTTGTAATCTGTGTTGACGAGTTGACTCGGCGAGCAAAGATCAGGGAGCTGCGACCAGAAGACTGAAGAGGCCGCTGTCGCCGCTGTCACTGTGGTACAGTGCGGCCCGGCCACCCCGCGGCCCGCGGCGTGTCGCGTTGGCCATTGATGCCGTTGGCCAAGTTGGCCGTTGGCACCGAGGCCCTCCACGAGGCTCGGCGACGAGGACGACGACGAGGCCTCCCCGCGAGGCTAGACGGCCCCGGAGGCCCCTATGGACGCCGCCGGCAGCCTGCAGCCCGCGGCAGCCCGGCCAGGACAGACCCTCGGCGAGGCCCTCGGCGAGGCCCTCGGCGAGGCGCTCCACTTATCACCCCTCGTGGACCATGGTCATGTGACCGCTTTCCCTATCGCCGGGCCTAAATATAACCGATAAGGGGCGTCTCTCTCGCACGTTCTCACGCCCGGCCGATCCCCGTCTGCGTGACTGTCTTGTTGTGGTGCAAAAAATGGCGGCAGCCAAGGTGCTGCTGGCGCTGTGCGTCGCCGCCGTGCTCGCGACTGCCCTCGCGACCGCCCTCGCCGCCGACAACGCCGCGCCCGGGCTGGCTGGGCTGGCCTCTCCGCACGGCGTGCTGGGCTACGTCACCGACGCCATGCACTACTTGACGGCCGTGGCGTCCAGCCTCGTCACCGCCAGCACCGAGGACGCCGGCCCCGGGGCGCTGCCGCCGCTGCCGCCGCTGCCGGAGCACCTCCCCGACGAAGTGGTGGTGGCGGACCCGGAGCTGCGAAGGCACCCCGCCAAGTTCAAGTACACCGTGGAGGAGCTGCTGCACGCGCGCTTCGACCGCAAGGTGTCCAGCGACATCGACATTGACCCCTGCAAAGGCGGTGAGTAGCTCAGCATGGCTTTTCCCCGTTTTCCCCGGCGCCGTCACGACCGCCGATATGACGACCATGACGACGGCGAAGCGACACTGCCGCTGCAAATGCGAGACTGAGAAGGGCGCCGCAGTGATTACGCGCCACTTTGTGTGTTTAGGGAGGGCCGGGCCGAGCCGCGCCGAGCCGCGCCGAGCCGGGATCGCCCGGACATGAAAGTGAATTTCAGGAGGCGATTAGCAGTGGTGCGGGACCAGCCCGCCGTCCTGTCCAAACAAATGCAGGGGCTGGCCGGGCATTGCGGGCCATGGCGTCGCGTCGCGTCGCGTCGAGGGAAGTCGAGGACAAACAGCCAAAAGACGGGCAGCGCGACGCCCGGGGGTGCTCGGGGGTGCCCGGGGGTTGATAGCGCAGGGACTGCAGGGACCCCAGGAGGGACAGGCGCGGCGCCGCGGCCTGTGTACATTCCGCCACTGGGAGTCGAGCGGCGCGGGCTGGATACACGTCCTCGCCGGCCGCGGCCTCGCGGGGCACGCGGAGCACGCCAAGCACGCCCAGCTTTACTACGGTCGGCGCGCGTGTCGCCAAGGCCTGGCTTGGGCCCGCCGCACCTAGAACAAGGACGCCCTTTTTATGGACCTCTTTGTGCGGAAACATTGGGTGTGGAGAGGCGGTGGCGCGGGGGTGGCGGCGGCGGCAGCGGCGGCCAGAGGCAGGGCCTTGATGACGGCGGGCGGGGGCAGGCTGGGGCAGGCGGGGGCGGTTTCGACCGACATCTGCGAGTGATGTGAGTTGATGGCGCATAGACGTGTCCCCAGCGGGCCTGCCTCTGGCTGCCTCTGGCTGCCTCTGGCTGCCTCTGGCTGCCTCTGGCTGCCTCTGGCTGCCTCTGGCTGCCTCTGGCTGCCTCTGGCCTGCCTCGCGCCCTGCACGGCCTCGCCGCGGTTTGTCGTGCAGCGAGGCGTGGCCGCGGGAAGGGGGAGGGCGCGAGGACTTTTGTTTGTGGGCGGCATGCAGGAAGTAATCCTCGGCAGGACCTGCCTGGGGCCGCGCGGCCCTGCTGCTGCACGGACTCACCTCACCCTCATTTAGCTTTATTATTCTAGCGCGTTTTTGTTTTTGTTGTTGCTCCAACAAATCTAATCGCTTGTATGTTTTTTGTTGTCGTTTTTTTCCTACTGCCTCTGGCCGTGGGGCCCAGGCCCTGGCCACGGCGGGAACCTAAAGAACGGCGTCCAGCAGACTGATTCCGAGAGTCTATTTCGTCGCTCTGTCTCTCTCGCACTCATGGGGCGTCCCCTACAGGTGCGAGGGAGACAGAGCGACGAAGACGACTCTCGGAGTCAGTCTGCTGGGGGCGATACACGTCCGCGCGCCAACGCCGCAGCGCAGGCCAAGCCGGCCAAGCGCAGCCATGCCGTACGACGATTCTTGCGTAGTGCGATAAACGTTATCGCCACCGGCAGGGCTGGGCAGCCAGAAGATATTGATGGTCCATTCGCCGCCCAGACCTTCACCCTACCGCCACGCCGCCACGCCGCAGCGGCCAGCAGCCCGCAGCCCGCAGCGCGCCAAGAGAAAAGGGCGGGAAAATGATTTAAAACGGGCGCCGTGCTCCCATTTAGCCCTGGCCGGCCGTGTAGCGCGCCCTTCTGGGCCAGCGGAGCCGGGGCGCACACTGCAGACTCCGTGGCCTCGTCGTCCTGTCTTTCTCACACCCCTTCGGAGCGGCCTCGTGAGTGCGACAAGGACGGAGCGACGAAGGAAGTGGTTGGAATCAGTAGGCACGCCCACCAAACGTGAGAGCGCAGTGCGTCGTCGTGGAGTTGGCGGTCGACAGCTGCACCAGTCTGCATCGTCTCTTCGGCGACGCGATGTCCGTCTCGTCTGTCTCTGCGCGCACGCCGCCCCGAGCCCGTCCGCCGGTCCGTCCTTGGCGGTCGCGGACGCCGCGGACGTCGCGGAGGCGCGGCCCGGGGACTCGGAGTTCACTCCCCCCAGGTCGACAACCCGCCGCCAGACTCGCCTGACCAGCGCGACGACTCCCCAGACGTCACCGCCGTTTCCGTTCCAGTATCAAGATGAACAAGTCCGCGGCCCCGCGCCCCGCGCCCAACAGTAAGCAGTGTGGTCGCGCTGCACCTCGCCGACGAGAGGGCCCTCGCCTCGCGTGCCTCTCGCTTGCATTCGCTCTTCTCGGTCTTTTGGGGCGTGCAGCGGCGGTCTATCTGAGGAGCCGCGCCCCAAGCCGAGCGCCCCCGCCTCCCCTTATCGGTGGTGTGGCCGTAAGCCCTAGCGAGCCATACATTCGCACGTCCAGCCCTGCCGTCCCGATACCGTCTGGTGGCGGACGGGGGCGGACGGGGGCGGACGGGGGCGGACGGGGGCGGACGGGGGCGGACGCGCGCCTCAGGCTTGGCCTCAGGCGGGGCCGGACTGAGGCTCCGAGGCTCGTGCGGTGGCGAGGGGGGCGAGGGGAGGGGCAGGGAGTGCACACAGAGCCCTTCACTGGGCCCGGCCGGTGTAATGGATCTCCAGGGGCACACAAGTCGGCGGGCGGTGGCTTGTCCAGCAACAGCGCCAGCTCGGCCTGCTCGGCCTGCTCGGCCAGCCCGGCCGGCAGCGATAAGTGGCCCCACCGCCCCGTGGCGGCCAGCCTGGTCCAGCCTGGCCCAGCCGCCCAGCCGCCACCGCAGCGCGGGACGCAGCGGGACGTCGCTGCGATATATCGTCTGCGACCTAAACGCTAATTAATTTGTGTTCGGCCAGCACTCCGGATTACGGCCATGGTCGTGCTACGTACAACTATGCGCGCCAGCCCGCGCGACCGCACCATCGTCCACCCCGCCCCGCCAAACTAGCCGCGACTATGCCACCGCCGTGCGCCCCGCTCCGCCGCCCCCGCCGCCCCCGCCGCCCCAGTGGCCCAGGCACTCAGGCTCAGGCACCACGATGGCGACGCTGCTTTTTCGTGCAGGCCCCGCCGCCCGCACCAGCACCCCGCCGCCAGCCTCGCCACCGGGTGGCCGCGGACTGGAACAAACTTTCCATTTCTTGTCGGCCCCCCAAAACCAGGGCAAGTGCATCAATCCTTGGAAAGCCCGCTTCGCTGCGCTACCGCGGCTACCGCCAGCAGCCCAGCCTAGGCCCCGGGCAGCGCGCCGGGCCCCGGCGGGGCAAAGTAGAGGCGACATCGGGGGCGCAGGCACACTGCGCGGACGTGGTGTGGCGCTGGCGGGGGAGAGAGGGGGAGATAGGGCCATCGTGGTCCTCATTTACCCAGCTCCGAATCGGAATCTGAATGATGCGCTGCCGGCTCGTCCTCGTCGGCCCGCCCTCCACTGCTGGGAATCTGAATCCAGATCTGAAATTCCTGACAAAGGTCGTGCTGCCGCGCCGCGCCACGCAGGCTGGCTGCTGGCTGCGCCGTCGGGCCGTCCGGAGTCCCGCATCGCAAAGCATCGCACCGAAGTGGAAGCGAGGCGGAGCCGGAGCGCGAAGCCAGGCCGGGCCGGGCCGGGCGGGCAGGGCTTGCCCTATTGTTTTCCGGGCCGTCATCGCGCACCCCGCCCCGCCCCGCCCCGCCCCGCCCTAGTCCTGGGAATGCGCCCGCCAGCATTGGGCGCACAGCGAAGGCAGCGAAGGCAGCCGCGGCCTCGGGGCCTCGGGCACGAGGGGCAGGGACTGGGGCAATCTCCGGAGGGAGCCGTCAGGATGCAAATGGACCACTCAGTGGGAAACCTATCGGCCTCGAGGCCTGACCTCATGACGCCAATCTCATTGGGCTCAACCCTGCGCGTCCCTGTAGTGGTACCATGAAACCCTTTGGCCTGAACCCCCAGAGTCAACCCTTGGCCTCGGCGTCAACCCTCCGCGTCAACCCTCGGCGTCAACCCTCCGCGTCAGCCCTCTGCGTCAACCCTCCGCGTCAACCCTCCGCGTCAACCCTCGGTGTCAACCCTCGGCGTCAACCCTCCGCGTCAACCCTCCGCGTCAACCCTCGGTGTCAACCCTCGGCGTCAACCCTCGGCGTCAACCCTTCGCGTCAACAATGGGCCTTCCCACAAGCAGAACCTCTTCGGGGAAATCCGTGCGCACAATCCCAGGGCCGTATCCCTTTTCGAACCCTTCTTGAATATGGACCAGCGGCGCCGCGGTCCCTCCGCCTCCGCCTTGCAGTCCTCGGCGTCCTCGGCGTCCTCCACGTCGTCGAGGCCTCGCTCCGCCTAGATCAGACGGGCAATGCTGGTACGGTGCGGACGCCCAAATCCCCACGCCGCCCCGCCCCGCCCCGCCCCGCCCTGTCCACAATAGCGCCGCGGGTAATCCACCGAGTGAAAGGTGCCCTGTGCGGACGGGGCCCGACGGGGCCGGGACTGCGGGACTGCCGCGACGGGGAGGGGTCCTTTAATCCGCGGGGACACGGCGGGGCCTCGCTTGCCTCTCTCGCCGAGGCTCCGTTCTGAGTCAGTTGTTGTCCTGCAGACATGAGTCAGCGGCCTCCATTGCAGGGCCGGGCGGATGGATGGGGGAAGCAACCCGATCGTAATGAGACGGTGGAATTCTTTTTGCAAGAGCTCACTGCAAAAAAAAAAGTCATTTAAAAGAAGTGCTGTTTTTTGTTTTGTTTTTAGGAAAGCGTTTCGTTACCAGCGCAAGGCAACAGAATGTCGATAGTTAAGTTTGGCGGCTTTTTCTTCGCTTTGGAACGCCTGCGCTGCCGTTACGGTACGCAACTTTGTCAAGTTGCGGGGCCGCTTGATCGAGAGGCCCTCTCTCTTACAGCCTTACCGAGCCTCACAGCCCCACGACGTCATTTTGCCGGTGGCCTGCCTGGCCTGCCTGGCCTGCCTGTTTTGAAGGGCAAGTCCGTCCCCAAGACGGACGGCGAGGTTGCGGCTAGGTTGTGGAGCCGCGAGGCCGCGCTAGGCCGCCGGCCGGGACATGGGGCTTACACTGATTGAGCCCCCGGTGGGGCGGAGGGAGCGTGTGTGTTGGTGTGTGTGTCGTGTACGAGTAATCACTGCGAATTGCTACCCCACCCTAAGCTCGTCCCCATCCCTATCGCGATAAGCGTCTGTCTGGCCGTCTGGACGCAGCGGACGACGCGCGAGTCATGGCATGGCGTCCTGCCACCCCCGACTACTTTACAGGGAACCCAGTCTGCAAAACACGACACCTTATTTTTTTGTGTGACGGATGTGATGCGGGGGTGGAAGGGCGGTTGGACGACGCACCGTTCCGTGGAGGGATCGAGAAACGACAAGCTGGTTCTGTGGCCAAAGAGGGGAAAAAAGGGACACGATGTAGCTGTAGGGGCTACAGTGTAGGGGCTTCCCCGGCAACCCCATTCGCTCGGGACGTCGACGTGAAGGAGAGAAGGCGGGGGTGCCAATAGCGGGTCTTCCGATCCGTGGTCGCAATCGCCGTGGCCAGCCAGCCCGACTCGGCCCGTATTACAAGAGTATACGTTGGACGCAGTGCCGCGCAGTGCCACGCAGTGTCCTCCAAAAGCCAGCCCAAGTTACGATTTCTACACATTTGGCACCGTTTCGACCGAATTTGCGCCTGTCCCATGAGCAGCTCGACTGATGGCGCGTCGGTTGAACGGTCGCGGGTCGCGGCTCCATGAGCATCATGAGCGGCTCGGTGGACACACACCATGGTCACCACCATGGCGACCACCACGAGCGGCAGCAGCACCCTGCTCCGGTCATATCGACAGACCAAGGCCGCCACCGCCCCGCCACCCCGCCGAGCCTCGCCACGTGCCGTTTTTAGACGACACCTTTTACATCATGTGCATTGTTTACGTGCAAGCGAGAGAAAAAAAAATGGGAGGGGGTTGGTGGGAGTCGAACCCGGACCCGCTCCACCGAACCCCGGATCGGGGGTCGGCGAGTCATGGCGAGCTAGCGCAGTAAACCGGCAGCCGTTTCGTCCCGCGACGCGGCGCGGCCAGTCAACATGCACTAAAAACTTGTTAAAGTCGGGAGGGCTCTTTTCCGCGGCGTTACCCCGACGACGCCCGGGAGGAGGGGACAGGGGAGGGGAGGGGCAGGTGCGAGGTCAGTGCGACGTCTTGCCTTATCTCCCTTCTGCGCCATTAAACGTTGTAGTCCCCAAAACGCACCGAGAGGCCAGGGCCTTGTTGTCCTGCTCGGGGACCGCCGCGCCGCGCCGCGGGTGCGACGGAGACGGTCCGGACGGCGACGACGGCGCTCTCGGCCGCGGCCCGGGCCGGCCATATGTTCGCCGAGCCGAGGGTCGTGGCGTTGTCGGCGGCGTGGTCAGCCGAAGGGAGCGCGGGGACCGTCTTTTCGCTGCTAATGACTGATTGTGTCTCAAGATGTGGTAACGGGGTAGGGGCGTTGTGGGGAGGTCGTTTGCCCCACCCTGGCCGACGTGCCCCCGTTCGCCCCTTTCGACGCCTCCAGTCCGCAGATAGCGCGCTCTAATTGGAAGTGTCCCGCCCTTTATTTTTATTTTTAGATTTTTAGCCCCCGAATCGGCAAATCGGCCTGCGCTCGGGGCCGGCCTGGGCTGCCTGGGCTGGGCCGGCCTGGCGCACTTAGATACCGCCGGCTTGCCAGCATTGTCAGCATGGGTCAGCACTCCCTCCCTCTGATTGTTTTACTGTTACATCAGCTCGCCTTGTGCGCCGCCTACTCTGCCCGTGCCGCCATGAGTGTTTTAATAGATTGCCGCGCTCGTTTCATTTTTCGGATCGATAATTAATTTTTTTCCCGCTCGCTAAGCAGCCAGACATCGCGGCACCAATTAGCCGTGCAGGGCGGGAGCGGAGGGGGGCCGAGAGGGGCGGGGGTACGATTTCCGCTGTCGCGCCGCGCGCCGCGCCTGCCAGGCCTGCCAGGCCTGCCGCGCCGGGCAAGGAGACGCTCGCTGCTCTCCCGACGACCGCGGGGGCGGGGCGGGGCGGGGCGGGGCGGGGCGGGGGCGGGGCGGGGCGGGGCGGTCGACGCACACCAGATAAGTAGTCTCCATGACAGCGACATAATTGAAAACGGGATATCGGTGTGAGGGTCGCGGCTGACCCCACCGCAAGGGCTGGCTGGCTGGCGGACGAGACCTTTGGATTTATCAAGCGCGCGCATTCCCACACTCTCGTTTCAATTTCGGCGCGCTCTTTGCTTTTTGGCGCCTCCTCTGCAGTCCGCTGGTTGGCGCTGGTTGCGCAACGACGCGCCTGCGCCGGGTGCCTGCACCGCTGGCCGTCGGCTGGCCGGGCTGGCGCGGGGGTGGCTGGGCGTCGTCGCCGTGCTCGGCGGCCCAGGGCGGCTCAGGGCGGCCCCACGCGGCCCGCGGGAGGCCGGCCGGTCGTACGACGGGCCCCACATCGTGCTGGTCGTGACGCAGGAGATAGCTCTGACATTTGTGACTTTTGGCCGCAGCGTGGCTCTGCCGCTGTGCCGCTCTGCCCGGCTCCGGCCTGCTCAGCACATGCTCTTGCAATCCCCGCATGCCGCGCTAACCCCCTCCCTCCCCCGCGCGATTCGACTCCCTTTTTTATGTAATTGATTTTGTAAAATGTGTGTGTTTGCAGTGGGGTTCCAGGGCGACATCGCGCTGCCCAACGTACAGTACGAGCTGGAGTACCACCTGCAGAAGCAGAACCGCTCGGAGCAGGACGCCGAGGAGGTGCGCAAGCTGGCGCTGCTGGAGGGGCTGCAGGTGAGTGTCTGCCAGTGTGGCCGCTCCATGGAGTCTGACGAGGACGTGCATGCTGACGCCATGCTGACGCCATGCTGGCGCCATGCTGCCCCGCAGGTGGAGGAGGAGGGCCTGCCCGAGTTCCGCAAGAAGCAAGAGTCGTCGTCGGGGTCGTCCTCCGCGCCGTCGTCGTCCGGCGGCGCGGCCTCGGCGTCGTCGGCGTCCTCGAGCCACGGCACCGCGTCGTCGGGCGGCTCCGGGCCGCTCGTGCCCCTCAGCGTCCACGGCCCCCTGGTGCACAACGGGCGCGTGGTGCAGCCGGGCGAGCTGGCCGTCCTGCTCGGCCACCACGTCCACAACGGCGAGGTGGTGCCCCGCGGCTCCTCCATGGTGTACGCCACGGACGACGGCAGCGAGCTGGAGCGCCACCGCAAGACGACGCTGCTGCAGCAGCGCGCGCACTTCTACCGCAAGAAGGGCCAGGGTGACGACGACGAGGACAACGAGGACCGTGACGCCGACGACATCATGATCGAGGAGGCAGTCGTGGCCAGCTTCCCGTCTGACAGCCCCGCGCCGGCAGTGCCCGATGCCACCGCCAAGCCAGTCTCGGCCAAGGCGAAGAAGAAGCAGAAGGCGGTGACCACCACCACGCCGACCTCGGTGGAGACCAACAGGAACAAAACGACCGGCAGGAAGCACCACAAGAAGAGTCGCACCACGACCGTGGCCACCGGGACCTCCACCGAGGCCGTGAGCACCACCCCGGCGGCCTCGGCGGCCACCTCTACACGCCCCCCGCGCTCCAGAGGCAAGGGCAAGCAGGGCAAGGGCCGCAAGAAGGAGCCGCCACCGCGCCGCGTCCACGACGACGACGACGACGACGTTGGCACCAGCGCCATCGAGGACCTCGCCGAGCAGCTGGAGGCCAAAGTGACGCCTCGGCCGAGGAAGCAGCGCGGCCGCAAGCGGTGAGTGGAAAACGGAAAGCGGTTCGGGCAGGCCAGCGCCTCAGCGCACATACTCACTACTGTCTTGTTCTTTCCAGACTGCGCCACCGCCCCGATGGCTCGCCCAGCGGCCAGGCCGAGGGCCAGGCCGCCGACGGCAGCACCAGCACCGCCCTGGAGGTCGCGAACCGCGCGGAACAGCCACGCAGCCGTGCGCCGCGCGCTGCCACCGCCCGGAAGGAGCGCATCTGGGACCACGGCGTCATCCCCTACGAGATCGACCACATGTTCGGCGGCTCCCTCAAGGCGCTCTTCAAGCAGGCCATGCGGCACTGGGAGAACTCGACGTGCGTCAAGTTCGTGGAGCGCGTCCCCGAAGAGCATCCCAACTACATCCTGTTCACGGAGCGGCCCTGCGGGTGAGCACCAAGTCTCTGCGGTTTCCGCTGTCGCTGTGGTGCCTGGTGCGTTCGTAATGTTTCTCTGTGTTTTGGTTAGCTGCTGCTCCTTCGTCGGCAAGCGAGGCAACGGCCCTCAGGCCATCTCCATCGGCAAGAACTGCGACAAGTTCGGCATCGTGGTGCACGAGCTTGGCCACGTGGTGGGCTTCTGGCACGAGCACACGCGCCCCGACCGCGACCGCCACGTGCAGATCGTGCGCGACAACATCCTGGCCGGTACGCTGGTGGCCACTACGCTCCACTCCACAGTGGGCCAGAAGACCGGTGGAAGCGGCCAAAACTCTGGACGCGTTTTGAGCTCCAGAGTCGCTAAACAGGACTCGAACCGAAATTGACCCCATCAATTCCTCGCTCGGAGTGCAATCCATTGGTGGGTCACACGTTCGGTTCGAGTCCCATTTAGCGACCCTGGAGCTCAAAACCCGTCCGAAAGTTTTGACCGCCTCCTCCTGTCTTCTGGCCCACTGTGGACTTAGCGCCATGCCACGCTCTCAGCCCCAATTTGCTGTCTTGTTCTCCTCGCAGGCCAGGAGTACAACTTCAACAAGCTGACGAGCGAGGAGGTGAACTCGCTGGGGCTGCCCTACGACTACGACTCCATCATGCACTACGCGCGCAACACCTTCTCCAAGGGCACCTACCTGGACACCATCCACCCCATCGACTCGATCCGCGGCAAGCGCAAGCACGAGATCGGGCAGCGCATCCGCCTCAGCGAGGGCGACATCGCGCAGACCAACCTACTGTACAAGTGCATGCGTGAGTGTGGCCGTCCAGCACCACTGGGAAAACTAAAGCTTGGCCGCTTCCGCGAGCGTGCTTTCCGAGTCCCCTCCCGTGCATGTAAAGGAAAGACGCCCGGAGAAAAGCGCCATGCTACGCTTTAGTTTTACCAGTGTCGTTGTGATTCCCGCGGCCCCGTCTAAACGCGCGCTGTCTTGGCAGGCTGCGGACGCACCCACCAGGAGAACTCGGGCCTGATCCAGTCGCCGCGGGGGTCGACGAGCAGCGAGCGCTGCGAGTGGCGCGTCACGGCCACGCACGGCGAGCGCATCGTGCTCAACATCACGCAGCTGGACGTGCACGAGTCGGAGCACTGCAAGTACGACTACCTGGAGATCCGCGACGGCTACTGGTACCGCGCGCCGCTGCTCGGTGAGTCCTCGCCTCGCCGCTCTCACGCTGTCAAAGTTCTCTCGGGCGAAGGTAGGCTGTCCCGCCCGCAGGCCTGCACCGCGGCTGCCTACCCTGCCTCTGTAAGGCGCGCGGCCGAGCTGCCGCTGCAGCCACCGCGTGGCCATGGCGTAGCCAGCGCAGTGGGCGGGCAGTCCCTTATGCTGCCGCCTTGCAGACTGGTTCCGAACAGTGCTTTCGTCGCTCTGTCTCTCTCGCACTCGTGGGGCGTTCCGCATGGTTCCGCAGGTGTGCGAGAGAGACAGGGCCTGCTGCTGACGCCCTGGTCATTCCCCAGGTCGCTTCTGCGGCAAGAAGACGCCGGACGTGATCACGTCGACGGGGAGCAGACTCCTCATCACGTACATCACGTCGTCCAAGCAGGTGGGCCACCTGGGCTTCACCGCCATGTACGAGGCGGTGTGCGGCGGCGACGTGTTCATCGACGCCACGGGCAACCTGGAGGCGCCCAACTTCCCCGACGACTACCTGCCCAACAAGGAGTGCGTCTGGCGGCTCACCGCGCCCCCAGACTTCCAGGTGGCCCTCGTGTTCCAGACCTTCGAGGTGGAGAACCACGACAGCTGCTTCTACGACTACGTGGCGGTGTACGACGGCAACAGCACGGACGCCCCGCTCATCGGCCTGTTCTGCGGCATGAACATCCCGCCCGAGGTGCACTCCACGGGCAACCAGCTGCTCGTCAAGTTCGTGTCGGACGGGTCGGTGCAGAAGGGCGGCTTCTCGGCCACGTACCTCAAGGAGTTCGACGAGTGCACGCGCTCGGACCACGGCTGCGAACACAAGTGCGTCAACACGCTGGGAGGCTACGAGTGCAAGTGTGACATAGGCTACGAGTTGCACTCGGACAACAAAAAGTGCGAAGGTGAGTGAGGAGGAGCTGTTTTTTTTAATCACTTTCGTTAAGTGTCGATATGTGTGAAACAAAAATAATGTTCCAGACGCATGCGGTGGGATGCTAGACACGAGCAACGGCACCATCACCTCGCCGTCATTCCCCGAGTTTTACCCAGCGAACAAGAGGTGCACGTGGGAAATAATCGCTGAGGCCCACCATCGCATCACCCTCAACTTCACCCATTTTGATTTGGAAGGAAATAATGTAAGAGGCGCATATAGCTCAGGCATTGATCTAACAGTTGCAAATTAAGCCATTTCAACTCTGTAATTTTTCTTTTTTTGCAGCTGGAATGTGAATATGACAGAGTTGTAGTGTACCACAAACGATCGGGGGGTCAACTAAAGAAGCAAGGTTCTTATTGTGGTCCTCACCCGCCACCATTGATCACCTCAGAGGGAAATGCACTTAGAATTGAGTTCTACTCAGACCTTTCCGTTCAAAAATCAGGCTTTGCTGCTGTTTTTCTCACAGGTAAGAGCTCTCTTCTCAGTTTGAAGAACCAATTGTAAGCACTGGTATGGAAGGGGTGCAAGCTTTTTCTTTTAGGATACCCAACAGGCACTTCAGAGCGCCAGAGCACTCCTTTACGAAGGCTTGCAGCTTGGAATTTTATGTAAGAAATCTGTATCTTTTCGTCTTGTGAATAATTTCTCTTGTTCCTTCTTTAAGATTTGGATGAGTGTGCGAAAAATAATGGAGGGTGCCAGCATGAATGCAGGAACACACTTGGATCTTATGTGTGCTCTTGCCATAATGGGTTTGCCCTTCATGAGAATGGTCATGACTGCAAAGAAGGGGGCTGCAAATATGAGATCTCTGCTCCACATGGCACTGTGTCGTCTCCCAACTACCCGGACTACTATCCATCACGCAAAGATTGCATTTGGCATTTTACAACTACCCCAGGGCATCGTATCAAATTGGTAGGACACAAATGCCAATAGAAATCATTTTTTGTTTCAATTATTTTTTTTTAATTCTGAAAAAACATTTTAGGTATTTTCTGAGTTTGAAATGGAACCACACCAAGAGTGTGCTTATGACCACATTGTTATTTATGATGGAGACTCAACCGATGCTCACACTCTTGGACGTTTCTGTGGGTCCAAGGTCCCTCATCACATCATCGCAACAAGCAATCAAATGTACATGGTCTTTAAGTCAGATGCATCTGTTCAACGAAAAGGTTTCTTTGCTACTCATTCCACAGGTATGTCCAATTCATTTTTAGAAATTTTGAATTTTGAATTTTTAGAATAAATTTGATTAACTTCCTATTTTTGCCCCAGTTTGTGGTGGCCACCTCATGGCAACACAGCGTGTCCAACACTTGTACTCCCATGCACGATTTGGTGATCACAATTATGATAACAATGCTGACTGCGAGTGGACTATTGGGTCAGCACCTGGTGCTCCACTGTACATACAACTGACCTTCTTAACTTTTGAAGTTGAACCTGAAAATGATTGCTCTTATGACTACGTTGAGGTTTTCAACAGCGTTGATGCCATAGGGTCTTCTTTAGGAAAATTCTGTAGCTACAGTGTGAGTAAAATTTTAAATTTTCAAGATTTAATAAAATTTAGTGAATTATTTAAATTATAATACCCCCAATTTGTTATTGTTTTTAGAATCCCAGTGAGCTGAGAGGCGAAGAAGAACTTCTTGTACGTTTCCGTTCTGATGACAGTATTGTGTCGAAAGGATTCTCTGCAGCATACATAGCTGTTGATTTTTCCGACTTAGACGAAGATTCAAGACTAACAGATGAGGACGAGGCTAAATGAGGAAGGCCTTCACCTCCTCTTACAGAGTTTCTCAGCCGAGGAGGTGAATCACGGGGCATTGCTATGCATACTAAGAAATGTTACTATGATGAGCGAGGCCAGTACCTTTGCTTCTATGACGAAAAGGAGACAAGACAGCTCTCAGCAAAAGAAATTAAAAATGCTCGAAAGGAACGATTGGAACATCTTATTCGACAAGAGCGCCGAGAGCGTCGGCAGCGTCACAAGAAGTTAAGAGCCGGGAGAAAACCTTCAAGACCTACACCTGTGCCTTACAAGGGAAATGAGAAGTCCTAGTGAGCCAATATTTGTTCCAGTCACAAATGTGTTGAATGACCAGCAGGTGTGCTGCGAGAACTAGACAAGAACAAGACTAGAAATCTAGTTATAGTAGACTCTTCTTAAAAGAAGTGAAAATATGTTAGGAAGGTACTACATGCACCCATTAATTCATCAATCTCATAAGTGTACATAACTGATAAACAACATCTGTATAAAAATATGTTTATGATAAGTCCTATTTATAGTGTATAGAATGCCGTTGGAAACTTGAAGACTATTGTATGTATCTCATTATCATAATATCAGATGTCAGGCAAAGAGCAGTTTACCAGTAAGTTTCAGGATTTAAAATGTTACACTTTAGTAGTTTAGAAAGTTGCTAAGTTATGGTGTATGACTTAAAAATTCGACTTATTGCTGTTATAGTGATTTCTTATGTAGTCCATTTGATTATGGCTTTTAAGGGAACCTGTAAAATATTATGTGACGAGTTTGGGCCACAAATTTTCCTACTTACTCCTCATCTTTCCAGAAACAAAAATAAACTCAATTTGTCGTGAAAAAGAAGTTTGTTTTGGGAATATGTTTGATCAGTTTTAACTTCAAAACACTGGCACAAACATGTAAGACATCAAATATGGTTTTTGTATTGTACATTTCTAGACCCTCTCCTTTAGGATCTGTCCAAAAAATTGTACTAATATCGGAATTGTTGTGTCCAACACATATTAATGCTTGTTCTTTAATCTCATCATAGTCTAGAAGATCTCGTTATCTGTATTTTCTCATGTCATAACATGCAGCTTTAAGTTGAAATTGTAAGTATTATTAAGTTTTATAGCATTCTGATCAATGACAATAATGTGAAAACATAAATTCCTAAATTGTAGTCAGTTTGTGTTGGTATGAAGGACTGCAAGGTACCAATACTATTTTATCTGGTTCCTACCAACTTTCAAAATAATAAACAGATTAAAAAAAAAAAAAGGAGAAAGACTGCCACTGCCATTCTTGATTTTAAAAGACAGATCATAGTCATCAGTAAGATGAAATAACACTGGCTTAGCAAGATAGTTTTGAAAGAAGACGGATATGAATTTTAAAGAGAACTTCATACCCATTATTTAGATAGGTGTGTAATCAAGTAAAAATAAAGTATTAATATGATTAAGACCTTTATTGTAACTTTTGTATACCTCCCAATTCAAGAGCTTCCTTTATGTCATAAATAAAATAGTTTTCATTTAAAACTCTTTGGGATGTTAATGATAGACATCACAACTTCCAACTGCAAGGCAAATCCAGCTGCTGCAAATTTTTTCTATGGAACTTTTATTTATTTATTTATTCTAAGAAAACTTAAAGATTTCAGACGGAAAAGGAGCTATGGCCTGTTCCAAAGTCAAAACAATAAAATCTACATCCAACAAATACTGCAAATATAACATTAAACGAAAACAATGATCAAGAAATATGGTACAGTAGCACTAAACCCATTCAAAGTTTTCCACTACAAAAATAATCACTAGATTATAATTAAAACTGCATCTAAGAAAACCAAGCAGGGGGAGGGAGGTTTTAAATGTGGAGACAGGACTGATTTTTATGTAGCAGCAACTAAGAACAAAATCCCTTGCTCCAACATCTCATTCTTTTCTACATGGCTTGCAAAAATGAAACTAAATGTATGCCATCACACACCCAAATGAAACTAAATGTATGCCATCACACACCCAAAATGTATTCAGGAACTCTTACACAGTAATCACAATTTGTGCAAGTTGTGCACTAGGTTCAATGACAGAATCAGTCAACAAAAAATTATTCACTCTACTTAACTAATTTTAAAGACAATCTTTACCAAAAGTGAATTGACATTGCAATCAAATTACGCTTACCTACAACATTGCAAGATATTAAAACTAGGTCAAATAAACCAAGACCGCTGTGATATGAAACAATTAACAATGCAAGAGTTTTAGTTGCATGTGAATTAGTTTGTCCTCTCAAATATTGCACTTGCAGAAACCACCAACTTCCATCAAACTCAAATCTCAAACCAATTGAAACGGAAATCAAAATGAATGAGAAAACAAAGTTGAGCTGAGGGAACGCATCACATTTTAATTGAATGATATGGCCAGTCTTCCAAACAAGATTATTGGCACAAGTGCTCTGAGATCAAAGGAGAAAATAGGGTGTTTGTTGAAATTGCTTTCATTTAAGCATTTAATTTTAGTCAGACTATCCAGGAGTCCACCCTGAGAATAGCAGAATGAGTGGTGGCAAACCTGGAAAGAACAATGCAAAGCTTGGTGCAAAACCATACCTGATAATGATAAGAGCTTCAGACTTATTGGAGTTAAAGAATGACAGTGTACACAAGACAAGGGACTCAGTAAGAACTGGTAAGAACCTAGCTAAACACACTTTAGAACCAAATGTAAAGGTGCAGGAGGTCAGTAGCAATTAGATATTGGGCTCGTTGTATGAGTCATGAATTCATAACACAAAATATTACATTTGGTACACAAACTATAAAAAATAATAATAATAATACAATATCAGAAAAATCTCTCAAGGAAAGAGAGTACAATAGTTATGAGAGGCATAAGTAATATTAACAACATTAACAAGCCAATAAAAACACAAAGGCACATAGAAGGCAACAAATTGTGAACAATGGGGAACATGCTGAATGTTGAACTTTGAAGAAATACTAATAATTATTATGTTAAACAACACAATCCCACCTCAAAATTTTGGATGAAAAGGGCAATACCTTGCAAATTGAGGCAAAGGAATGTTTTGGCTCAAGGTCACATAGAGTGGAGAAAAACTTGTAATAATTACAAGGTACAAATAAGAAAGCTTCAACATAGTGTTTGGTTGACTTATGTATGTTCCTCAAAATGAGTGACTGCTTTAGGAACTATGGGTACCACCAGCACCATCAATTAACACTAAAGTATCATAGCCAAAATGGATAATTTAACAATTTTGAGGATTTAATGATGGTTTTTGAACAATTTTGTCCAATGAAAGCAGACAGGATGGAATGAGATATGAAAGGGTAAATGATGTTTCGGATTGTAGGAACAGGTCAATAGGTGGTAACTGTAAAATACTTTAAAGGAATGCTTCTTATAACATAAATTATCAGAATGATTATCAATCATACCCTATCCTTGGAAGGCCCTCTCTTTCTATCACAGACCATATTTACATTTATTAGAATATTAATCTACTGGTAGGTTAAGACTATTCTCCTTTAACAAGCCAGAGTAACATTCAAAACCAACAACGTATTTTACCAACAATCAGGTACACTCAATTTTGCACCATCATTGTAATGGTATATTATTTGCTAAAGAATTCAATTACTCTCCCCAAAGAAAAAAAAAGGACAAACCTTAGGGAGAACACAAGAGAAAAATTAGTCAACAGAATAGTAGAAGCCAGTTAAAACTACAGAACAGAAGTTAACTTAAAATTGTTTCTCCTAACAGGTAACTGAGACAAATGTCCTGCTTGCAAATAACAATGCAAGGTTCTATCACAAAAACAAATCCTCCCTCTGGATTATTTTCAAAAATTTAACCATCAGCTTCATCTGTTTTTTCAGTTTCAGTTTCAATGTTACTTGGCTTTTCGAAGTTGTCTCTACTATGGTTCAAGGTAGCAGAAGTACCTCCACATTCTTCAGAGGATTTGTCAACAGCAGCATCGACCATCTGCTTGCTTGTTCCATGAGCGTCAGAAACAGCAGGTTCAATTGTAGATTCATTAGTATTGAGGCCTGAATGGCTGGAGTCCTCATCCAAATCTGTATCTGATGGGCTTGAAATTTCACTAGTTGGAGCATCACTTGTTTCAGTACTGGGTGGGGCGTTAAGAGAAGCCAGCAGTTTTGCACGAATGGCCTGAAGTCGTGCCAAAATACTTTCATACTGGAATCTGCCCCTTTTCTCAGAGAAGGGATCCTAGAAAAAATATACTGATTAGTAATTTTTTTTAAAACTGCAAATATTTTGGATGAATATTACACTTACCTGCATTGGATGCCCTGTTAGCCCAAGGTTTTTCTGAGCAACACTTTCATATAAATCATAATACTCAAGAAAAGTCTTCTGCATGATTGTGACTAGCATTGGTGGAATGGTAAGGCTGCTGTCATTTTCAATCATACCACATACAGCAACTCTGATTGTTTCATGTTGAATTATATCATTATATTTTTCTACATCACCAGGTAGCTTCTCCTGTAAGTGAAAGAGAAAATGGACAATGTAAAACAAGACTACATGAGGGCCAAAAATGAAGATCAACAGGCAAGCACAGGGCAGAAGACCATACCTGTTCAAATCCAGGTTCATTATGATACGGCTTTTCATTGAGGATACTTTGGATTGAGATCAGGACACTGCAAATACTTTGAGCAGGGCTCCAGCAGGGTCCAGACCATGTTCTGTAGAATGAAATAAATGAATTAGAAACATCCAGAGAGGAGCGGGTAACACTTCTTCAATTTTCTGGTTCCAGTCCTTTCCAGCTGCACTTACCCCAAGATACTCAAACAGACTTTTCCGCTCTTGTACAGGTTTGGGTTGAAGCGCACATCTCCGCCACCAGTTGTCATGAGCTTCACTTTGGGTGGACGCAATGGGTAATCAGGAGGGCACCGTAGAATAAAATAGAAGAATCCTCCCTCGTAAGGAGTGTCAAAAGCACCAGTGATGAGAGCATGCACAATGGTTATGTCGGATTCGTCGGGCACCACAAACAGGCCATACGGTGGATCGTTGCACAAAGACATTAAATCCCTACAAACAGAAATTAATTTAAAATTAGAACACAAAAAGTACAACACAAACAATAACAGAGGCTCCATCAAGATGGAGCATAGCAAATTAAGGCAGTGTTATCATAACTAGACAAGTGTAACAGAGATTCCTACGATATTGGCGTGATTGCAGAAACTGCGAAGCACCACGGCCAAGGCAAACCGAAACGAGGGGAATACCGTAAAATACATGTCCTGACAGCTACTTCTCTAACCTCTTGATCCGATAGGAACATTGCTGAGTTGGAGTCTCCTCTTTGAAGTCTTTTTGAAGGATGGGATCCCAGTCTTCGTATGTGATGGACATGTTTGTCATGGAAACGTTTTCAAAGGCACCAGGAAAGTTTGTCATAGGGTCTAACAAGGCTTTGGCAGTAGATCAATGTGACACCATTGTCCAAAACAAAACACAAAAAATATAAACGCACCACCTTTCGCTTCACACACGTCCCTTCCCTTCTGCTACGGCTTTCCGGTCCATTCTCTGCCTCTGCCTGCCTCCGCCACCGCCGCCTCCGCAAAACTGTTCCTAACCTATCTGCATCTCCCTGTTTCCCTTGCTGTCGGCTCCAAACGAAACCGTCTGTGTTTATTATCCTGTCTGCCTAAAGAAATAGACACAAATTACCATGTCAGCCAAAGACAGCCATGAGGGCATGCAAGAAATTGACATTACCAAACTAACTCTGCAACAACTGTCTCAATTAAAACAGCGTTTGGAGCAGGTAAACTATGACTCAATGTGTGCACTACAGTCCAGTAACTTTTACTATCATTTCGTGAATATTTTCAACCTTTACTTTAATTTGTCACTGAAATCTGTTCAAATATTAAGTTCAATCTCACTCTATAACTACTTTCTCATTGCTCTGTCAAAGTTCTATTTCATTACTCATGAATCGGAGCGTCATTACTTTTTCATTCACTTTTCAGTTTGCAAAATTTGCAAAATAACAGCAGCAAAGCGTATTCAATATTATATTTTACTAAGTGATTGTTTTACAGGAGTTGCAGATGTATCAGAGTTCACTTCAGTCCTTGAAGGTAGCTCAAACACGTTATCTCAACTCAAAGGAAAGCATCGAGAAGATTTCACCAGATTGCAAGGGGAAGGAAATATTAGTTCCTCTCACTGGATCTGTATCCTTTCAGTTTCTATCGTCCTGACCGAAATAAAATCTTACCGCATTGTTTATTGTGCTGCATTTTGTATTATCCTGATTTTATGTATCAGATCTATGTGCCTGGCAAAGTTGCAGATGCCGATTCAGTCATTATAGATATTGGCACTGGCTATTATGTTCAAAAGGTATGTTTAGAGCATCAGATTTGAAATTTATTTTTGTTTCTTGCCCAACTTTGGTATAATTATTATTTGGGGGTGACATTGCAGGATTTGGATTCGGCAAAGGATTATATGAAAAGAAGAGTCGCATTTGTCACGGAGCAGATGGAGAAAATTCAGGCCATGGGCCAGGAAAAGGGTTGTATTAGAGATGGTAAGTCTTCTTATCTTTTCCATAATACTTTTAACTGTCTGTGCTGCACTGACTTTACATTGTGTCAATTTTCTACTTTCAGCTGTCATGGAAGTGATGGAGGGCAAAATCCAGCAAGAAATAGGTCTTCAAAAGGCTGCACTTGCAAGAGCAGCTGGTGCCACCGCCGGCAAATCATAATTGGTGAATTTAGGAAGGTTTATGTTTAAATTTCTTTTCACATTTTAATCATCATCAACGGATCAAGTACGCTTACATTGTATATGAGTTTTTGTATCAGCTTGTTGATGGTTGTTCAATGCACCTTATATGATTTATACTGTTGTTTTTACATTAATATTTCTGGCTCCTTGGTACACGACTAATGGTTTTTGTTGCTTTGTATAAATATTATTTATTAATACTAAATTCTGAATGTTGCTTTCTGTCATACATTTCTTTCCTGGGCAAGATCAAAATGTAGCTAGGTTTACTGAGTTGCACAACTATTCTTGGGGTACATTCCTTTTCTTTCTGAAGCCGTTCAGTTTTCTTAGCTATGTGCATTGTGACAAATGCTGAGCTCTGAGCTTCATCAACATTGTGTATTTCTCTGTCAATTTTGTTTCCATTATGCCTTCTTGCATTCTGGAACCTCTTATGCTGCACTTTCATTTCAAAATTTGATGTGTGTAGTTGTGTTATTTTTAAAAATAGCTGAAGTATTGATTGTAACATCCTGCTTTTTATAAAGACTTAAATAAACCCCCCAAAAAAATCGAATCAAATCCACTTACTTTACCTATTCAAAACGCATAAAAAATGAAATACGAGACCAACGGAAGAGGCGAACAGTTTGGAGTTCGTCTCGGACGCATGATGGAGGCCGACGCCGGGGAACGCACGCCAAGAACGGCAGTGCCGCCCGCGCCTTTGTCGATCTCAATTTGGAAAAAGGAGGGGTGGGAGGGGAGGGGAGGGGGCAATCAAGCCCAGATGCTTTCATTCCTGGCCGCGGCACCAAAGGAACAAGGAACCAAAGGAAGGCGCAGAAGAGCAGTTTTCTTTTGCGTCCCTCTGGCCGCCTTATCAAGGGCGTCGCCGCGTCGCGCGTCGCCAAAGGAGCTCGCTGCTCCGTGCTCCACGCTCACGAGGCGGACGGGCAGCGGGCACACTGATAAGGCCGATCCCAGGGCCGCCATTGGCTGCCGCGGGGTGCCGTCGGCCAATCGCACGCCGAGCTTCGAACTTCCCTCCAGGACGGGGCGTCGCCATTGGATAGACACTCCCGCGCGTGTGCACGTGGGCCGAATAACGCGCCATGCTCGATCATTATCACTTACTTTCCCTGAAACCCTCACGGCTCGCCGCGCGGGCAGCCCGAGGGGCTGCCTGACCGAGAGACTGCTTATGCACAAAATGGGGCACAAAACAAAACAAAAACCTTAAAAAAGTGATGGAAAAGTGAGGGGGAAAGAGGGAGGGTGCGGGTCATGCTAACATTGCCGCGCTCTCCCTCCGGTGGCCGCGTCCTCGTCGTCGCTCCACTGCTTTCCAGGTCGGGCCTTAGGAGGCGACTTTGTTTATCCAAGTCCTCACCATTATGTGTCAAAGTGGGCCCCGCCGGCCCATCTCGGACCTGCATGACGTCAGCGCCGGGATGCCGCGCACCCTGCTCTCAACGACTTAGAAAAGATAAATAAAAATAACGAACGCTGCCATGACACGGGATGCAGGGATGCAAGTGTGCCGATCGGGTCAAAGTGGTTCGGCCTCGGGTTTGACTTTCCGATCGGGTGCTTTTAGAAGGGTTGCAAGTTTACGGCTTCTACTCAGGCCCATCCATCAAACAGAAAATAAAGAAGCCGTGGTGGCCGATACGGAGACCCGCTTGCTTCGCTTGCTTCCAGTACTTTACCCCCACTCCGGAAGTCGATACGCCATTTCCCGCAACCCCTTTCCCCAAGGAGCCAAAAATTAAACCTCAGCATCGGTGGGAGGAGGGAGGAAGCAGCAGGGAGAGAAAAGATTCTGAAAATCACAGCGGGTCAGTGATCCCGAGCGATGGTCGTCGTGGATGGGATCATGGCCGCCTCCCGCCCCTGCTCACAATCGCGGTCCTCCTGGGACTCGACGGCCTCGACGGCCTCCACCCCGCTCTGTCTCTCTCGCTCTCCCACGGGGCGCCCCACGAGTGCGAGAGAGACAGAGCGACGAAAGCACTGCTCGGTGGTGAAGGGCGAAGCAGTCTGCTGCCGTCGGCGGGGACCCCACCACACCCCGCCCCGCCCCGCCCCGCCCCCGCGCGGGGAGGCCGGCCACCCTCACCGCGCCGCGTGCCGCGGCTGCCCCGGTGTGCCCCGGCTGCCCCGGTGTGCCCTCGCCAACCTTTTGAGCAGAGGCTCGCCTATATTTAGCGCCGCGCCGTTCCACGCTTATTCTCTGGGCCGTCTCGTCGTCGGCGTCCCTGTCGTCGTGGTGCCCAGTGTGCCAGGCCGTCTGGCCGTGCAAGCTGTCAGGACAGCCCTTCCCTTCGCCCTTCGGGGCTCGACTCGACACAAGGGCCCATAACGGCCTGCAGCTGCGGCAGTATGGCGGCAGCCGCGGGTGGAGACGAGGCGTGGGGTACGGTCTTGCGCTCCAGAAGAAAAGGAAGAATTCAACTGCGGCACCAGCAACATGGCAGCATGCGGCAGCATGTCAGCCGGCTGCACACTGTACACCAGACTGCGAGTAATAGAAACGCCGTGTCGCTGGATGCCCGGAGGCCTGGCAGTGGAGGCGCCTGGAGGGGCGGCAAGTTTTGTGTAAAGCGAGCTGTAAAGGCCGGACGGGGTGGGACGGGGCCGCCAGCGACTTTCAGCACCACGCAATCACACCACCACCACACCCCGCCCCGCCCCGCCCCGCCCCGCCCCGCCACGCCCGCGGCAGCGTGGCAGCGCTGTAGTGATTTGGAGCGCCTCGAGGCGGGGCGGGGTGTGGCGGTTTGTGGCGGGGCGGGGCGGGCGGGGTGCAGTCGCCCGCAGCACGGCAGCCTGCAGGCCAGCCTTCTGGACGACGAGCACAGCGTCATCCTGGGAGATGGACCGCGCTTGCAAGGCTGCCGGGCTGCAAGGCGCGTGGAGTGCATGCGGGGACGCGGAGCCGCGGGGCCGCGGGGCGCGGGCGCGCTGGAGGGTAGGTTCGGAGGGGGCTGGGGGTGGGGGCCCAGTCGGCGCGCCGCTCACAGCGCTCACAGCACAGCCAGCGGGAGGCCCGAGTGGAGCCGAGGGCCGAGGGGAGCCCCAAGCCAAGCCGTGCGGCGCGCGCCGTCAGGCCGTCAGTCCGCGACCAACCAGCGAGCCGACAAGCAGGGCAAGCAGGGCAAGCAGGGCAAGCAGGGCCTAACCCTCTCCGGGCACTCCACCACACTGCAGCCAGCCACGCACGGCCTCGCGGCCACAGCCCACACCACCACCACGGCATGACAACTGCCGCACGCCGGCCGCCGCGCCGCTCCAAGTGACCCCGGTCCACCCCGGTCGCGGACTCGAGACCCACTACCCCGCGAGCACGTGCGCGAGAGAAAGAGACAGCGAGTCGTAGGCACGTGTCAGACACGTGGGCGCCGGCGGGCCGCCGTCGTCTGGCGCGGCCGCCAGGGACGCGAGGACGCGAGGTCCGCGATGACGTCCACGGCCAGGCGCGGCTAGGCGTCCCAGCACACAGCAGTGCAGCAGTGCACCCCGCGGCAAGCGGGAAGGCATCCGGACAGCATCGCCACAGTCTCGGCCTCAGCATCGGCCACAGCATCGGCCACAACCCACAGCACCCGGACGACCACCTGCGCCGCCTCCGCCGCCGCGAGGGCCGGCCCCCACGCCCAGGTGAGTCCAACGCCTTGCCTCCACGAGGATGCCGTGTACGTTCCGTGCGCCGATACACCCGATGGCGACGATGGGGTGGAGCCGTAGTGGTCCTAGGTCCAGCCCCTGTGTTCGGCCAGCACCCCAACAGCATCCGGTCCATGGATTGTTACGTCCAGGAGGCGCCGGGCCACGTCGTTGAGGCCATAACCGTCATGGACGTCGTGCTCCGGACGAGAGTCGCGAGTGTCTCACCCGCGACGGCCGCCGCTCGCAGTGTCCTGGCGGTCCTGTGCCTCTCACGCGTTGGAAGTTGAAAGTTTCCGGGCATGACAGTGGCGTCGGCATTAAAAATAGAAAGCAGAACTACTTGGCGCGGACTTGCGTTGCATCTGGAACTTCTGGCTGGACAGACGGGAATGATGGAGTGTGTGTGTGCAGTGTGTGCGACGGAGAGCGCCCGCCGTCTCGAGGATAGGCAACACGAGGGCCGCGGTGCGTGCGCGTTGCCTAGCTCCACGGCGGTCGGCCACGCCGCCTATTTCTGTGGCCAGCTCCTCGCCGCACTCGCGTGCTGCGTGCTGCGTGCGTGCAGCGCGCACGGTAGGGGAGGGGATGCCGATAATACTGCGAAGCTGTTCGCAGCAGGCACGCCGCTCTCCACCCTGACAGCGGATAGCTGCAAGTGCACAACGGCCTCGACGGGCACGGCCTCGACGGGCACGGCCTCGACGGGCACGGCCTCGACGGGCACGGCCTCGACGGGCACGGCCTCGACGGGCACGGCCCGCGCGCCTCCGCGGCGTGCGAGTAGTTTTCCCAGACGGGCCGACGACGCCGACGAGGGCGACCGGGCGGGGGGAAACTCCCCGGAGAGCGTGTGCATCCGCCTTGGCAGGCTTCAATGAATCGTATTCCGGTGGAGGCGACGCGAGGCGAGGCGGCGAGGCAGCCCCGGCCACAGCCGCGCAAAGCCGTCGGTGCCTTCGGGGAATACGAATACGGCGATTGCGGTCTGAACGCGACGCGGCGTAAAGCGCCAAGCGCGGTGGTTCGAATTTCACCCCCGGCACTCCGTTTTGGCGCGTGCTCGCGCCCTCTGGGCCGCGGCGCCACCTTGCGGGCCAGGGCCTCAGCCAGGGCCTCGGCCAGGGGCGGCCCACATCCATCAATACGAAACTCGGATCACGGAACATGGAACACGGCTTGCGAATGGAAGCGAATGGCGTGGAGCCTTCGATCTGAGATCGTCGGCCAGCCGGGCCAGCACAGCCCAGCCCCGATGCAGTGCGCTTGCCAATCGCCAACCACATCAGTGTTGCATGAGTGTTGCTGGGCGCGTGGCGTGGCGTGGCGTGGCGCGCAGTCCCAGTCCGGCAGACTGGCCAGCAGTGGCGGCCATTCCCGCATTCCGTCCCACTGGTAGCAACAAGCAGCCCGTGCTTTCACTGCGCGGCTTTCGGGGGCTTTCGAAGCTTTCGCGCTGGCTTTCGCTTTTCACCACGAGCTATCTCGGGGCTTTCGCGCTTTCCCGCTGAGGGTGGGTGGGGGCGGCGGATGCCGCGTTCCACACACTCCCCCTTTTCTCCCTTCCGCACGCCTCAGCGATTCCAGTTCAATATCAGCTGGAGCGGCAAGATACGCTCTTTTACAGCGAAAAAAGTTTAAAACGTCGTGACGCGCTGGCGCAGAGCATTGTGGCGGTGTGGTGGGCCGCGCTGATAGCGGTATGGTCCTTCCCGGGCGGGGGAGGGGCAGCGTGGATGCTCTACTGACCCGGAGCTTAACCAACCCTGGCGCGCAACCAACCTTGGAGCCTAACTAACCACGGATCTGATATGGCTTGCCTTCCCGCCGTGAACCCTACCCGCCCGAGTCCCTCACCCTGCCCACCCAATGCCCGCCCCCCGCCCCCCGCCGCCCCGCCGGCGTGCG